CAAGCACCCGACAAGTCTGTCAGGGTTTCAGCTCACTGCACTGGTCTAAGTGTCAAGAATTGGCCACACTAAAGTAGGTCCCCCCACTAGGTGGGGGGACCCTGGCACATGTGTATAGATCCCCTCCTTGCTTGCAAGCCATTTCCCTCAATTTGAGATTAAACTTCTGTTTGATTCCCGACTCTCCTATCTCTAGTCTGCTCTATTCCACCCCAGCCATCCACAGGTTAGAGGTCAGCTTGCTCCCATTGACAAGACACATGGGCATGTATAAAATGTAAAGCTTTAAGACAAACTATAAATGGGGGGGGGGGTTTGTTGTTCCTTTTGCATTAAAGGCATGAAAGCCATAACCCAAAGGCAACTGCCACCAAAACTCAAAGACAAAGCATCTTCCCAGCAGATAAAGGTCAAAGGTATGAGCAGATAGGGAGATGGGGACTGAACCTGGGAGCTCACTGGTCTAGGAAACTCCCTCCATAGATGCAGGTCAGCACCTTCAGTCTTAGAGAGCTGCTGGAGTGGGGGGGAGGGAGGGGAGAAGAACTGCTAGATGAACAGGCGTGTGGCCAAGGCCACTGTGTCCCTTGGTTTGGCTTAACTGTCTCAGTAAGAAGAGACATTCCTAAGAATGGAAGTTGATATGTGAACAAGATCGGTGTGCGAGACACAAGACGTCCAAAAAAAAACCAACTGAGAAGTAAAATGAAGCGGTTGGGCCAAATGGTGTCTAGAGTGAGTCCTTTCCAGCTCCAACATGTAGGATTTCTGAAGTCTTCTCAACCTGCCCCAGAGGGATGCCCCCCAGGGATCTAAGGTACCTGGTGACCAGATGCCACAGTCTATTTTTAGCACCTATTCCCACTGCCATCACACCTGGGTGAAACGAGGTACCTCTTCCAACTGAGCCCAAAGGGGGAGAAGATGTGAACAGGTTGCAATCTGCACCATTGCACAAGTGAAACAACTGGGAAGAAGAAAAGACTTGCAGGCCAGGGAAACATACCACTGACTTCAGAAATGTGCATCTGGCTTACTTTCTATTACCCCAAAAGGCAGAACTTGGAACAGTGAGTTGAAGCTACACAGAGACATCTCTGGTCCAGAAAGAACTCCCAAAATCTCGAGCCAGACTGACAGCATCACCTCTGGAGACAGGAAGCCCCAAGTCTCTGGAGGCAACCCAGGAGAGGCTACCTATTCTAGAGGGCTAAGACTCCAGAAGGAGACTCCAGAGGAGGGGGATCTTGGACTGGGTGGAAAAGAGGCAGAAGGGCAGCTGGAGGAGCCAGAGGAGCACATGTGGGCAGAATTGGATCAGGAGCTGCTAGGCCCTGCTGGGAGAACACTGGGTCACAGATGGAAAGCTGGGAGGGGCCAAACGGCTCATCCATTGCAGCTCCTTCATCAGAACCAACAGACTACAAATCAAAGATAAAAATTAAAGAAGGAAACTGGGAGTCACTGTCAAGTGGAACACATGCTACAGGCCTTAAGGATCCTGGTTAGTGCCTTAGCTGTAAGGAAGTGGGAAGGAAGGAAATAAGCATTTAAAAAGAATCTACTATGTGCCAGGCACTGTGCCTATCACTTTTTTACAAATATTATCTCACTTGATACTCACAACAACTCTGTAAGGTAGGTACTATGATTAATCCCATTTTACAGTTGAGGAAACTGAGGCAGACAGAGGTTAAGTGACACTTGCCCAGGGTTACGCAGCTAGGAAGTATCTGAGGTCACATTTGAATTCAAGTTCTCCTGAACCCAGGCCCAGCGCTTTAGCCACTGCAGCACCAACTACCTCAAGAACAGAGACAATAGCTAATGCATGGCCCTGTAAGCTTTGCGAGTCTCATTATGCAAATTATTTCACTCTACCTACACAACAACACTGAGAGGTGGGCACTCCAATTGTCCCCATTGTACAGATGGGGATTCAAACCCAGGTCTTCCTCATGCCAAATCTAGCATTCGAGGCACTATGCTACCAACCTCCAGAATCACTGATGGCACCAGGTCTCAGAGTCCAGCATCATGTCCTCTTTACCCTCCCCCTTGACCCCAGTCTAGAGTAAACCATTCAAGCCCAATAAGGTTCCCTGGGAAAATTCTTAGGAAAGGAGAGAAAATTGCTAAAAACCTCACGCTTTCGCTAACAAAGAAAAGCATTACCTTTTCAAAGAACCACTGGTTTATGATATAATATGATAATACATGGAATACATTACAACAAACATTTATTAAGCACCTACTATGTGCAAAGCACTATACCAGCAGAACTATGCACAGGAGAAAAGATGTGGTCCCTGCTCTTCTAGAGCTTCCAGTTCAGTAATTACAGGAACCAAGCCCTTCCCCAGCCTTATCACCTCTGAGCTTCAAGCCAAGCCCTTAAGTTGGTAAGCCTTAGTGTTGCTATTTAATGATGAGGAAACTGAGGCTCAGAGATTAAGTGCCTCGTCAGGGTCTTGCAAAGCTAGTAAGTGCAAGAGCAGGGATCAGACTTCTGCCTTCTTTATGGTACCCCAACATACACCCAGACAGGACATTCTGGGGAATTATTATTCTCAGGGGGGAAATCAATGCCACCCCCCAAGGAATGACTTTCTAAAGGGCTGCACATGGGGGAACCAGGAATCTAGGGACAGGAACACCTGCATTGGGAACTAGCAGCTCTTCCCTTTTGCTCTGGGAGGGATCCTGATAGATCTAGAGAAGTAGGGCGGGGAATAGACCCAGTATGGAGAAAAAAGAGACATGAGTATTCAAGGGCCACAGTCCGACTCTAAAAACTCCAAACCTCTATAAAGCTCTAAAAAGAATAAGGCTCTATAAACCTCCAACTGCTCAACACCAACATTCACAATAGATTTGAAAGAGAAACTGATACCTTGTGGCATTTTTTTTCTTTTTCTGCTTCCCTAATGTAGCAGGGATTCTTGTCTTCCTCTCCCCAAGAGGCAGGGTGGGGTTGAGGAGAAAGGATCTTATGAAAACTCATTCATTTGGACCCTGGTTTCTATGAAGAAGGAATGACAAATGCCTTTTGGAAGATAGCCCACCTGAAGTGTGAAAACTATTGCCTCTGCACCTGTGTGCTTGCAAGCTGATTGTTTGGATTCCTAGGTCCAGGCCCCAAGACAGATTGCAAGGCTAGACAACAGCTAGCTCAGACCACACACCAGGAATGCAAATTCCCCTGGAACCGAGTTGGCTATTCCCATCGTTCTCAGTGCTGGGAAAGCTGCAAATCCATTCCCAGTAACCGGAGCACCTGAAGTTGGCCTTGCTTCTTGCCAATGGAACCCCCAGTGGACACACACAAGTGCCTGACTGAATTTAATTGAGGCTTATGGTTTCACTGACCCACTGTGGTTGTAATAATCATCACTGATATTGATACTTAAAGGTTCCCAAAGTACTTACATGCTGTAGCCCATTCCAACCTCATGGCCACCAGGTGAGGCAGGTACCAGTAGACAAATCAAGTCTTCGTACCAGACAGTCTAGCATGCTCTCCTCCCACTACTCCACACTGCCTCTAGGGTAAACATAGTCTGAGTCTCTTTGTGAGAGAATGAAGTCAGAAATGCAAACAGCTGTCTTGCCTCACAATCAATGCCACACATTTCCTCCTTTTGACACATTTGTAGTTTGAGAGGGTAGAGATGGGGAGACCTTCACACTCTTGGTGCACATGGAGTTACTGAAACAACTAATTTTACTAACTTTTCCCTCCCACTGAGTTGACCAAAATTAACCAATTGTTTTGGGGCTAGTTCACTACTAATCACTCTCATTTGTAGAAAGCTCTAAGGTTCTCAAAGTATGCTTCCTCCCTCCCTCTCTCTCTCTCTCTCTCTCTCTCTCTCTCTCTCTCTCTCTCTCTCTCTCTCTCTCTCTCTCTCTCTGTATGTATGTATATATCTGTATGTGTGTGTGTGTGTATTTGCACAGCCCTCCCTCATTTAAATCCAATTCACTGGCATGTCATGGCTTCACCTCCTTGACATCACGGTCCTCTTTGAGAAGGAAGGACAAACAACAGCCTCTGAGCGACACAGATACCACATATACACATATACTTATATCAAATATCAACCCTGTGAGGTAGGTGATATTATTCTTATTTACAGATTCAGTAACTGAGGCAAACAAGGTTAAGTGACTTGCCCAGAGTCACACACCTAGTGTCTGAGGCTGGATTTGAACTCATGTCTTCCTGACTGCAAGCCTGGCACTCTATCTACTGTGCCACTCAATGGAAGAAGGCAATTGCCCATCATTTTAATACCCACTTTCACTTCAAATATGCAAGCAACTTTTTTAAGCACAACTGAAATTTGTTTGAAGTTGTGCTCAGGGGCTGGTACCCACCAACAGATATCCTTGTGGTGTCAAGAGACCTTGCAGAAGACAAGCAAGCAGTAGTCTGCCTTCCTTTAGGTCTCAGCTAGAGGCCCATGTTCTCCCAGAAGCCTTTCCTGATCCCCCTTAATGTCCTTCCCTCTGTCCCATATTGTATTGGGGCCAAAGTGCTTGGAGGTTGTCTCTTCATCAGACAGTGAGCTCCTTAACAGCAGGCACTGCCTTTCTGGACTTTCTTTGTGTCCCCTTCACTTACACAGTAGACACTTCATAAATGCTAGTTGCCTGCGTACCTTGGATTCCTAGGCTAAAGTCCCACATGTGGCTCAGCCTCCCTCTTAGATCTGAAAGCGACAGGATGACAGATCTGGACCAAAGCAAACCAAACCTAGAGGATGGCCCTCACAGAGGTATTGTGAAGATCAAATGGGATCATGTACGTAATGCGTACTAGAAAACTCAAAGTGCCACAAAAATGTCAATTCTCATCATTCTTGCCTTGAGTTTTGTGAGGCATCTATGTCCTCTCACCAGCTAGATTGTCAGGGCCCATATCTTCTTTTGCATGCGCACTGTAGTGAGGGTACCAAGACATGACGGCTAAGGAGCCAAGGGACACAAGGTCACACTGCTGGAAGAAGGCACAGTGTTGTTGGCTGGGACTTAGTTTACAACCATATCTTGTGGATTCTTTCCACCTGTCAACTCTTCTGTCCCAAACCCTAGCCATATGGATTTGACCAGCTCTCAAAGCACCTTCCACCCCTATCCCCACCCCCATCCCAGGTGTTGACAGTTGCCATCAATAATTCTTGAAGTTTGCAAGGAAGTGGCCACATGTGAATGACGATTCTCTTCAGGATGGGATTGCTCTGTTGAGCAATGTTGAGTTGAATGTCCTTTTTTAATATCCCCTTGCTAATTTCCTGTCTAATTCCTTTTGACTCCAGGCCTCTTTATCACCCAGTCTGAACACGGAAAGAGCTACCAGCAAGTATAGGAACCTCCTGAGCTTTCTCTGCAGAGTTCTCCAAGTTGACTTCTGTGTCATCTCATGTCTTCCATTTCCTCCATGCGCCCCCTCCCACTCACACACAAATACTTTTCCTTATCCTGAGATCTGAGGCACCAGGATCTGAAGAATGAGAGAATGAGGACGGGCATCTACAATAAGATCCTTGTCACTCCATCACGCCTGCAGATAAATTTTCATCCAAACAATGTGATGCACAATCCAGTAACTAACGTAAAGGGCAAGTTTTAACGAACTTGAAACTCATTAGGATTTGGCAAAGTCTGTGTGGCTCAGCTTTGTACAAGTTAGGAAATCACATATTTCTGAGAACAGATCATTTAAAAATAAAAACAGACTTGTCCCTGGGCTTTCTATTGTGCAACATTAAAGATTCAGAAGAAGCAGACTTATTAGTAGGAACTAGAAAGCTTACAACACATGATGATTTTTTCTTCCATAAGCAAACCCTTCCAAATATATGTATATGTATGTGTATATACACACACATGTACATATGTGAGTGCGTATTCTAAAGTCATTTGAAAAATGCCATGGCTGCTCTCAGAGGTGATCCCATGGGAAACAGGGCGCCAGAAGACTCCTCAGGGTGCTCAACAAATAAGGTTTAATCTCTCTTCCTGCTATGAAAGGGGCAGCCAGCTGGACGTGTGACTGGAAGGAAAATGGCTCATCAGCAGATTGCCTCTTGGTACAAATGGATTTCCTTTTTGCCAAGAACCTGAAATTATCGATGAAGACACAGAATAATAAGAACATTATTTTGCACATTTCCTTTTTATCTTTTCTTTTTTTTTTTTAATGAGGCAATGGAGTTAAGTGACTTGCCCAGGGTCACACAGCTAGTGTGTTATGTATCTGAGGTCAGATTTGAACTCAGGTCCTCCTGACTCCAAGGCCAGAGCTCTATCCACTACGCCACCTAGCTGTCCAAATCTCATCTCTTAAGCCTCCCGACTGTGATCTCCTTCCTCTGAGCTCTTACGCTATTAGGTCAGGCAGTGGGGAGGTTCTCTGTCCTGGTTGGCCACATCTGAAGCCATGTGTGCAGCTATCGTCAATTTTACAAATGTTTTACTAAGCACCAAGTACGTGTAGGATTCTGTGCTAGGCGCCGAGGGAAAAAGGTGAAAACAAAAGAGCTCCCAACGATGGGGGGTAAGGGGGCAGAAAGAGCAGGAAAGGGGTCCAGCAGCTGGTGGCACCTGAGCTGGGCCCTGAAGGAAGCTAAGGGCTCTCTAAGGAAGTGATCCTTAGAGTGTCTAGAAGAAGGTCACCAAGATCTATTGAAGGCCCAGGGGCCATTTAGCCAATAGAAGAGGAGGCTGGTGGAGTATGGCACGGAGGAGATGTGTGCAAGATAATTACCCTCAAGTACTTGAAGGGCTGTCATCCAAAAAAGAGATTAAATTTGTTCTGCTTGACCCCAGAGCAGAACTATGAATGATGGGTAAAGTTGGAGAAATAGCTTTCCATTCAATGTAAGCACAAATTTGGGAAGAGAGCTGTCCCAAAGGGACAAAGCATCTCCTTCCGTGGAGGACTTCAAACAAATGTTGAAATGGGGTTTCTTCTTTGGGTACAGGGTAGACTGAGGGTCCTAGGAAGTCCCTTTCATTCTTCTATCATGTGAGCTCTTTAATCTAAGCCTTGCCTCTCTCATATTCCTCATAAGATATGGTACACTGATTCCTTCATTCATCACACCCTTATGGTATTCCACGATATGTCAACCTTTTCTAGTCTCACCCTCCTGTTATACACCCCCCCCCATTATCTTGAAGCTCAAATTCTTCCTGGAAGCTAAGCATGAATAATTTGTCATGAGTCATAGGCAAAATGATGAGATTGCTTCAATAAACATGACCCAGGAGACTCCTTATTCTTGTTTTGGGAGGGAGCTTCAAAAATGACTTCATTGTAAGGGGAGGCGCACTTCATAAGGCATGACCTCTCCCTCTTGCATGGGGATGAGAATGTCACCACTGTCTGGTATTTTATCTGTTCAAGCTCCAACTGAGGGGCACCTCCCAGAACTTACCTGCTTCAAATAGGCTCTCTGTTTTTGTATAAACAACAAAGCTATCAGGATGGCATTTAGCATGACTAAAGTGATTGGGACGATGGTAAAGAGAAGCCACCTCTCTTCTTCTTGTTGCTCTAGGAATGAAAATCACAAACAAGGATTAGAGGTTGGGCTTGCTTGGAGAAACTCTCAAATATTAACGTGGGGCAGGGCTAAGACAGGAGCAGAGCTCCAACTATCAATCATCTGCCATATTTATGAGGATAGAGCAGAAAACTGAGAGCAGGCTACATGTGGCCAGACACCTACATGGTGTTCCATCATTCCTTTGGGCCAGGGCCTTGCTACATGGACCATGCAGTTTGCTGAACTGAAACAGCATCATCTGTTCACTTCCTCTGGTTATTGATTCTCTGGCTTAGTTTCCATTTTTAAAAATTGAACTTGTGACTTCATGTAATCATCTCAAAGTAATGAAATGCAAGCCCACTGACACTAGATGAATAGGTTCAGTGTTTCTCTTAAACTCTACAAATAAGAGAAAGCAAGTCATATGCTTGAATTAGTTCAGAATTCTTTCGTGAACTATAGGGCAGGCTGGCCAAGGGAACAACATTTCAAGGTTGCCATGGTCTAGCAATTACAAGGAAATGTGAGTTTTTAATGGCATGAGTAGTAATAAGAATGGCCTTGGCCCTCAACAAAATTTTAAGCACACCAAGTTTATCATAATCACTCTCCATTCCCAAATCTATGCCTACCCCTTAAAAGAGCACCTCCAGATTGTGAACTGATTCAACCATTCTGCAGAGCAATTTGGAACTATGTCCAAAGGGCTATAAAACCCTGCATACCCTTTTCCCTAGAAATACCACTGCTAGGTCTGTATCCCAAAGAGATAAAAAACAAAAAGGAAAAGGACACATATGTATAAAAATATTGATAGGAGCTCTTTTCTGGGAGTGAAGAACCAGAAACTGAGAGGATACCTATCAATTGGGGAATGGCTGAACAAGTATGTGATCATGACAGAATACTATTGTACTATAAGAAGTGATGAGCAGGGTGCTCTCAGAAAAGCCTGGAAAGACTTGCAGCAGCTGACGCAAAGTGAAATATACTGTGTACAAAGTAACAGCAATATTGTGTGATGATCAGCTGTGGATGATTTGGCTATTCTCAGCAATCTAATGACCCAAGACAAGTTTGAAGGACTTTAAAAAAAGAAAGGCCCAATGAGCCTGAGTAGCACTTTCCTTATTCCAATTTTCCCCTTTCTTGCTCTCCCCCAACCTCCCTCCCCTGACCTGTCTAAAGTCTGCCACAGTCCTGCTCTCTGCTAAGGAATAAATAAATCATGATCATAAGTGGTGTTAAGAGGATCATAGTTCAAATCCCACCCCTGTCACAGACTAGCTGTGTGGCCCTGGGTAAGTGACTTCACCTCTTCCTGCTTCAGTTTTCTCATCTGTAAAATGGAGACAATAATACCTATAGTACCTCTGTCCCAGAGTAACTGAGAGGTTCAAAGGAGATCATAAATATATATATATATATATATATATATATGTGTGTGTGTGTGTGTGTGTGTGTGTGTGTGTGTGTGTGTGTGTGTGTGTGTGTGTCTGTGTGTGTGTGTATATGTATATACACACATACACTACTACTGCTGCTACTGTTGCTGCTATTACTATTACTACTACTAGTAACAGCTACTTATAATGATTTAAGAGGCCCCTCATCCCAACAAGGATGTGCATTCTACTAGGCAAAGGAGTGGCAATTGTACATTCTTTGGGGGATGAGCCTCCCTAGCCCAAGTTCCCTGTGTGAGGCCAACCCTTAACCAGCAATACTATTTAATTTTTAAAAGACAAAAAACATTGCTCTCTTCTCCTAATTCTAATGGAATTTCCTATAAGAATTGTGCTAAAGAAATGGAAGCAAAGTAGATGTCCAGCAACAGTGGAATGGCTAAATAAATTGTGTATGTGCATATGATGGAATATGGCTACCCAAAAATAAGTGATGAATATGATGAATAGAGATTCATGGGAAGACTTACATGAACTAACGCAGAACAAAGGCAGCAGAACCAGGAAAATAATATACACAATGAGTACAACCATGGAAAGAAAGAGACAATAAACCTAAGCTGAACATTGTGTTATTATGAAGACCAAGCTGGGCCTCAAAGAAGAAAAGAAAAATGCCCTCCCTTCTTTGTAGAAGTGGGGAACTCTAGATGAAAATTTATGATGTGGAGGAGGGACTAAGAGGCAGAAGCTCAGTAGGGAAATCCCTAAAGTTACCAGGAGAACACTGGACTCTAAGAAGAAGTTCAGCCTTCAACAGTCCAGGTCATTGTTCAGGGAAAACCAAGGTCCATTACACTTCAGAGAGTAGGGAAGTGACAAACTAAATAGTTCACTGTAATGGAATCTTGCCGTCTTGGAAGCTTCATGGCCTAGCCAATGGCACGTCCTACATTTGCTTTTTTTTATTTTGTAATTCTTTGTAATTAGCCACACAACTCTTTTCAGTTGATGGATGCTTACGAGTCATTGTGAACTAGTATCTATCTATAGCCTGATTTCTTTGGGTTTTTTGTAGATCCAGAATGAAATGTACTCATACAGTCCTACCTCTCCTTTCTCCCCCTCCCCCAAAAAAACATAGTTTGAAATTTCTAGAGGAAGAAGATAAATATTCTTCTCTTTAGTTCTGAAAGTTCCGACATTTATCTGCACAGGATATAAGATGAAAGATTTTGTTTCTAGAAACAAAAGTTGTCGGTGATAGGTTGGCAGCCATGGGCACAGACTTAAATGGATTTATATTAAACTCAGTTGCAAGCTTGGACAGCTATATTCATCACAGCAAAGTTGAAGAAGCACCTGTCTTTCCTGCTGTGAAGTCTTCACTTGACCCCAGAAGACAGTCATTAAAAAAACACTGTGGACTTTCCCCCCCACCCCCCAACTCCCACCCCAATTGTCACATCCGACCAGGGCAGAAGTAAACAGACTGAAGTCTGAGAGTTCAAGGTGAATCCTGGACCAAATGACATCTTTAGGAAAACCAGAACTGACCATACCAACTGTGTTAGTCCCACAAACCTGGCTCTCACTGCCTTCATTCATTTCAAGGAAATAGTCTAGCTGACACTTACCTGTACTCCAGACACATATTCAAATTTAGCTTTCTCAAGGCCTTTACCATCTTCACATTTCCCCCTTACTCAACCCAAAATGATAAACACAGTTCTTTTCATTGAGAAGTCTGGCAGGAGAGAGAGAGAGAGAGAGAGAGAGAGAGAGAGAGAGAGAGAGAGAGAGAGAGAGAGAGAGAGAGAGAGAGAGAGAGAGAGAGAGAGAGAGAGAGAGAGAGAGAGACAGAGAGAGAGACAGAGAGAGAGAGAGAGAGAGAGAGAGAGACAGAGACAGAGAGAGAGAGAGACAGACAGACAGAGACAGACAGAGAGAGACAGAGAGAGGGAGACAGAGACACAGAGAGAGAGAGAGACACACACACACACACACACACACACACACACACACACAAACACACATATATATTACCAATTTGGGCAATTCAAACATTTGACTTGCTTTCTTCAGAGATCTCCAATTCTGGCAAAGTAAGGGTAAATCCTACAGGCCTAATCATAGCCTCTCTAGGATTTAGCAGATGGTCTTTGAGACTTAGTGGACCAAAAAAAGAACCATCGCTCTGCATCAAACCAGGAGAACAGTCTCTCCAAACTCAGCATGGCTGGCCTGTCCTGGGACTATACTACAAACGTTTGAGGCTTCAGATGAGCTACCAAAATCAGTGGTCTGCTACAGCAGCTTTCAAGCCTATGGTCAGTTCCAGTCTACTCCAAAGGAGGTACCCAATGGGACATGGGTAAAAATACTGAAGCAATATCAACATACGTGCAATCAACACATGAAATTCATACACATTATCTCAACTTGGAAATATAGTCATGACTGGAATGAACTAAGAAGATTGGGTTCAAATAATGGCTTCTAGTAGCCAATACTAGTATGACCAGGGCCTAGATACAGTGCTAGGCAAATGATAGTTCCCCAATAAAGACTTGCTTCGTTGATGAATGAATTTGCTTCCTTGGTTTAGGACAATTAGCAAAAAATCCTCTTAATTGCACAATCTGGGAAAAAAAAAACCCAAACAGACTGAAGTAACTCCCAGTGATTTTTCCATTATTCTCCCTGATCTCCTACCGTCTAAGCACTGCTTGGAGCTCCATTCACTCCAAAAACCTTCAATGGCACAGTAAATATTCACTTTGTCTCTGACAGAGACGCAGAATCTTCTACTTCCATTCGATTTTTGCAGGGTGATTACTTCTTTTTCTGTTGATCTGGACTGAAAGGCAAGAAAAACACAGGCTGGGGTGCTTTGATCTCCCAGCCCAAAACACTTGGCCTGCCATTGTGACTTGGCTCTGACGACCTCACCGCATCCACTTTCCTGGATGTTTCACTGGCCACCCCTGGCAAACCTAACTGGGAACCACAAAATAACTATTTCTAATAGATGTATAAATTATGATTACAGCAACCCCAGAAGGAGTATTGGCATGTAATCATTTAAGAATGTTTACTGAGGGTGAAAAAAAGATAGTCATTCGATGTGTAATACAGTTATTGATGGAACCTGGAGTTTGGAAATGGGGAAAAGTATTCATGGAAATGACTGAAATCTCAAAGATCCAAATGGCAGCTCTAGGGTCAAGTATCTGGAATCCCATGCAGTTGACAATTTGAGTTCAATGGGCACAGAAGAGATCATCCCAGCTGAAGGATCAAATGATTTACTTCCTTCTGTGTTTAGAGTGAAATCTCAGTCTATGAGTTTTTCTGCAAAGTAGGTACTGCTTGTGGGCCTGTGCCCTTCATTTGTATTCCTAAGGTTCATAGATCAATCTCACCCCAAAGAACACCTTTTTCTAACACAATATGGCTGCTACCATGATGCAGTAGAAGGAAGGATGGGGGGCAGGGGGATGGGAGTCAGGAGACAAACATAGCTCTGACATTAATTAATGTTAGGATCTTAGACAAGTGCTTTCCCTACTCTGAGTCTCAATGATGGGATTAGATTAGAGCAATGGCTCCTATCTATTTCTTGCTCTGATCATAAACTGGACAATTCAAACAGGTAGTAGACACTTCCTGGCTGTGTGACCCTGGGCAAGTCCCGTCACCCTGCTCGCTCATCTGTAAAATGAGCTGGGGAAGGAAAGGAAATGACCAACCACTCCAGGACCTTTACTAAGAAAACCCCAAATGAGGTCATGAAGAGTCAGACATGACTAAAATAACTGAACAACCACCTTGGTACCAGTTTAGGGAGAAGAAAGAAATTTAGGTCTAACTGTTATTTTATACATGTATACATGGGATCATAGGTCTAGAGCCAAAAGGTAACTCAAAGGCCATCTACTCCAGCCCCTTCATTTTACGGATGAGGAAACTGAGGTACGGAGTGGTTAAGTGACTTGCCCAAGATCACACATACAGTAAATGTCAAAGCAGGATTTGACCCCCAGTCCTTGGACTGGGACAGTACTTCTGTCACTGTACCAACCAAAATTCACCAGCCAGAGCAGCTTCGGTGTGTTAGTGCTGAGAGCAAAAGCTTCTGTTCCTGTAGCTGAGTCTCTACTCCCATTACCCCACCTCCTTTCCTGGACCTTCCCCCCTTCCCCTCACCCCCAGCCCTGGGAAGGGTCCCTGTTTGGCCAGTGTGTTGGAGAACATTGATTAAGCACCTACTATGTCCCAGTCACTGTGCTATGCACTGAGATACAAAGAAAGGTAAAAAACAGTTCCTATCCCCAAGGAGTTCACAAGCTAATGGGGGAGATGGCACGCATACACCTATGTACAAACAAGCTATAGACAGATAAATCAATAGAGAGAAGCAACAGGCTCTTATTTCTCCTAAATAAGAACATTTGTATTCAAGTTAAATACAGATTATGAGAAGTAGCAAAGCCATAGTGGATGGAGATCCCACCTCAGAGCCAAGACCTAGTTTGTAGGTCCGCCTCTGCCTCAGGTGGGCTAGGTGACCCTGGGCATCTCAACTGACATCTCTGTGGTCCAGCAACTCTCCCTGCCTACAAACTGTAGTTTCCAAGCAGCATGAGCAGAGGGGCATGTCCTCAAGGACGATCCCTTACACCAGGGGCGGGGGACCTGTGGCCTCAAGGACAAGCCCTTACACCAATGAAAGCACAGGTCTGGCGGAGGCAAAAACAAATGCATTTATACCACCCAGGAAGCGTCATCTTCTTGGAACTGAACTTCATATGTCAGGCACTGAGAGGGGATGGGTCCCTCAGGGGACTTCCATTCCAGGTGAAGCTCTTCACGTTTCCTCTGAGTCAGATTTAGCTGTTCAGGGGGAGAAGGTTTCACTGAAAAGCAAAGAAGAAGTTATGAGCCCTCAGACTACTTCTGGTAAAAAGCAGCCATGCCACTGCACTATCAGGTGGCCCACCATGCCGACCCCAATGATCCTGAATGAAAAGCAAGGCAGATATCTACCCTTGTCTCTACCCAGGTTATCTTGCTGGAAGGCTGAATGTGAAGAGAGCCTGACAAATTGGACACTGGGAACTTCCTCTTTAGGAACCATCCCTATGTAGATAGGCCAGGCACATTCCAAAATAGGCTTCTGGGTCATCACAGAAAACAGGCTTCTGGAGATTTAGGATTCCAGGACTACCCAACTGCTGTATTGCTGACCCCACTGGAATCTGGAAGGCCTGGGCATATGGGTTAAAGTGTAGCAAGGTAATCTGGTTCTTTACAGTGAGGAAATTTGTAGGCTTCTGACTTTGTCCCCACAGAGGAAAATTCAGGAAGGATTTCTCCAAAAGCACAGATTGATTGTGGCCACTTGGCTGAGGAGGAGACTGAATAATGTCTACCCTGATCAGCAGAGCCTTTGAGTGGGAAGCACCATGATGGCAGGGCGGTGGTGGGGAGGGTGCTGAAAGTGGGGGGAAAGTTTGTATACACAGACAGGATGATTCTTGTCCTTGTATGCCAAGGATGCCACTGTCCAGGATTCCACAAACAGGACAAGATTCTCATTTGGGCAGGTGCTCAGGGGAGAATCAGACAAAGGGACCTGCTGACTGGAAACTGAATGGTGAGTATTTTTATCAAGGGTGGTTCCATGTGGGAAAGATCAGTGTGAAGACCAGCTACACAGGGCTCAGGACTCTGATTTGTTCTTAGACGAGTCTGGAACTTAGAGGCTCCCTATCAATTGACTCTTTTCACACTTGAGCACTTTAGTAAATGCAACAACCAACATCTCCAGGTGCAGAAAGACATGCATTTTTGGAAGTTGTTTTGCTTGACCATATATATGGTAGAAGGGCTCAAGTTGTTTTTTTAATCGCAGGGGTAAGCGAGAGGGAGAAAAAATCAGATTTTTGTCAAGTGAAAAAAATTAACTTAAATGTCTAAAAAAAATAGGAAGAAAAACTTTAGGGGAGCCTTGAACATGACTACAAAATCCCTGTCCAGATTGTTCCCTTGAATTCAACTGGGTTGAATTTTATTTGTTGAAATGATGCCTTCTTTTTGGTGACTAAATCTGGGAGAGAGGAGCTGGGATGGAGGAAAGATCAAATAAGGAGATAAAAGGCCAATGGAGGCTAAGGGAATCCCTGAGTCTGGCCAGAGCTAACACAGCAAACTAATGCCCTGGGAAAGTCAGAAATTTGTTGCTGGATTTGGAGGGGAGGATCTGGGGGAAAGAATTCCTGTGAAAGGAGAAGTTCCCCCTCCCAGCCTCAGAGGCTGAGCACACTTACACACTTACACATACACACACACACACACACACACACACACACACACACACACACACCACGGGATGGGTCAGGACATAAGAAGGAAAGAGCAAATACCCTGAGACCTTTTCCTCACTTTGGCAGGAGAGAGTTTCCATTTTTCAATCTGGATTTTCTTGCATTTGTAAAACTGGAAGGAATAGGCAGCTGATCACATTCTCTAGTAGGGTGAATAATCCGGGGGGGGGGGTCCCCAGCATCTGATTCTTGGGTTAAGGGACTGATGTGGAAGTCAATGATTGCTATACATTCTAATGGACGGTGGAAATGGTCCTTCTTTTTTGGAATCTGCTAGTTACTGCTCTGCTGTCCTCAAGGCCTCCAATGCTCTCCCTTCCTTTCTGCTTCCTTCAAAGCTCAATTCAGATACCACCTCTGAGAACCCTTTCCCGATTGCCCCCAGTTTTTTAGTGCACTACCTCTCTCCCCTCACTTTATTATCTAGGTACATGATGGATCCGTCTGCAAGCCACTGGAGGGCAAATCCTGTCTTCTATTTTGGTTCTGTATCTCCAGAGCCATCTGTGTCTTTAGAGAACTGAACTGAAGATCATACAGAGTTAGAACTGGCTACATTGAAAACAGGATTTTGGTGGGATTATTCTTCAATAAAGAAAGGATTATTTCAACAAACTTTACTGTCAGCACCAAGCAATATCCAGAGCAATTCAAGAGGACCTGTCTCCACCTCCCTAGCAAGGAGAGGCAGAGAAACAAGCAGAGTTAATCCCAGGCCTATCTCCTTTCACAGGATCACACCCAAAGGTCACAGGTTCATAAATAAGAACTAAACTAAACCTTAGAGGTCATCTAATCCAATACCCTCATTTTACAAAGGAAGAAAATAAGGCCAAGAGGGAGGAAGTGACTTGCCCAAGAGCTCTGTTCCACACAGTCAAATGTGGATTTATTATTGTTCAGTCATATCTGACTCTTTGTGACTCCATTTGGGGTTTTCTTGGCAAAGATACTAGAGTGATTTGCCATTTCCTTCTCCAGCTTGGAGAAATGGAGGCAAACAAGGTTAAGTGACTTGCCCAAGGTCACAAAGCTGTTAAGTGTCTGAAGTAGGATCTGAACTCAGGAAGATGAGTCTTCTTGACTCCAGGCCCTGCACTCGATCCCCTGTGCCACCTAGTTGCCCAACAACAACAAATATGGGAAACTAACTTGTAATAGGTTCCACATAAAATGTAGTTTCATGTCCCTAGTCCATAAACTTATTAACTACTATTTCATTCCATTTTGATAGTACCTAAGGTGACATCATTCATCTGGAGAATAACAAAAGAAATCATTTCCCACAGTAATAAAAACCTTGAGACTTGATACAAAATCAAAACTAGGTTTTAACTCTAGGCAGCAGCAGCTTAAAGCCACTCAGATGGAAAACAAAGCAAGGCTGGGTTATAGATAAACACTGTATACTGCAACACAAGGGCCCCTGAGGTTGGCCTTTGAGATGGGAGGTGGGGTGGGGGAAGACAGTGGGCGAATGTGTTCTGCACAACTTTCCTCAAGGTTCTTCTTTGGATGACTATCATGGGTTGAGGGCGTCATGAGGAAGAGTTAAAAAGGATGTATGACCCTCGTCCTGGGAGAGAGGCAGTAAGCAGATAGTTGCGGAATGTGGCATAGACTGTGAGATGAGGTTGCTAATTCACTTTGTTTTGCTTAACCATTGTTCTTTGTTACAAAGTAGGATTTAACAGGTAGGTAGGAAATGGGAATAACAATGGTGTAAAAAAAAATCAAGAAAATATTTTTAAAAGGAATGGAGAAGCTCTCTCTAGGGCCTCAGGTCCTAACCTAGAATCTAGGGATTCCAATTAATTGCTAAGATTCAGGCAACAAACTATGAGATCAAAGTGGTTCAAAAATTGCTTTGCTTTTCAGTGGGGCCCACCTAACGCCACGCATCCCTACATCTCAGCTCCTCATGTGTGGCAGCTTCTGTCATTCCTCATTTTCAAAACCCTTCTCTACAAAGCTAGAAGGCATCACGAGGCCATCAGGAACAACTGGAACAGAAATGCCCCTTTCATCAGACAGATGAAAGATTTAATCATTTCATTGTCTTTACCTATATTTTGAAGTTGAAAAGAAAAATAACTGGCCCTCAAGGGAAGGGCTAATGAAGATCCATTGACACAGATGTTGAAATCTTGATACTCTGCAAGCTCCACACTTGGAAACCGGCATCCAATATGTCTCCCATTAGCTTCTATGTAGTCAGCACACTGTAGAGCATGGTCTAGGCCCTCATACCTATAAGGGTAAACATTAAGGAAGGCAGGCTGAAACATTATCAAGAAAAAGAACTCTGAAAGACATTAGAGCTCTGACCAGAGGCCCAACGATGAAGCAGAATGAGAGTGTCCAGGTGACATATGTCTTGAGTATGACCCATGTGCAGATCTGTTTGACTTAATTATGCATATTTGTTACAAAGGTTTTGTTTTTCCATCTGTCCCTCAATTTTGGGGGGGTTGAGGGGACTCAAATAGGAGGAGGAGGTAAGCAATAGGATTGTCAAAAAAGAAGAAAAAAAGATGGCCATTAAAGCAATTCCTAGAATATTCTAGATAGGAAAAGTATACAGGTGATCGGGGGGGGATCAGGGAGGCTGGCACCTGGGCAAGGCTGTGACAGTCTCTGGGCGAGATGCATTTGGGGGAGCAGAGAGAGATATGCCCAGCAGGAGCAGCAATGCAGAAGAATAACCGGCATAAGGATTTTGAGCTTCTCTTTTTTTATTTTATTGTTTCTTCTGAACTTAAGAAATAAAACAAGCATTTCCGTAACCAAGTGGAATAGAAAAAAGATTGCATCTGATCCTGCAGATCTATCATATACAGCCTGCTATTCCTTTTCAATATACAACAAAGTTATCACATCACTTTCTTTTTTCCCCTCCCTCCCTAGAGATGGCTGACACAAATGTGTGTGTGTGTGTGTGTGTGTGTGTGTGTGTGTGTGTGTGTGTGTGTGTGTGTGAGTTCCTTCTCTGGGTGCAGATAGCATCTTCCTTCTTAGGACCTTTGCAGTTCATTTGGGTATTTATAATAGTCAGAATGACTCGGTCGCTCAAAGCTGTTCTTAGAACGTACAATGTTCTCTCGGCTCTGCTCATTTCACTCTTCATTACTTCATGTAACTCTTTCCGCATTTTTTCTGAAATCATGGAGCTCATCATCTCTTACAGCATGGTAGCATTCCATCACAATCATATGCCATTCCCCAATGGATGGGCATCCCCTCAACCTCCTCTTTTAACTAAGAAACAAGTGATAGGTTTCCTTTTATAAGTGTAAATATTACTCTTACGGTTTTTATATTACAGACAGGTAGATATTTCCAAAGAAATACCAGCTCTATGTAATATCCAAAGCCCTAGCTTCCTATACAATTTTATATATGGAAATGCTTATTTTATTTGCTGGTTGTTAGGTTCAGATTTTTTTTTTTAAAGAAAAGTGGCTCCCGTGAGATTTGTGCTCAGTTGCCAGACCTCTTAAATGCACAGAGAGGGCCTCATAGAACTTCTGTGATAACTCCAGTTGGTTGTTCTTCCTTCCCTCCTGCACTCTGGTTGTGACCACACACACAAATCTGCTTGGGAAGCACACTGAACTGAGAGCCAGGTTTGACCTGGGCCCAAAACCTGCATCATCTTCACCTTTGCTAAGTATGGCCCTGGTGCATTTAGCCAAGTCACTGCTAAACATGTTCCATAGCACAGAGCCAAGGGACAGGTGGTACATACCACCAAGAGGCTTTCCACCAAGCTTGGGGTCTACACATTCAGCCAGTTAGTCCTACATCTCCTCAACTAGACTACTGTCTACCCCACATCCCTCCATCTTTTCCATAAAGACATCTTGAGAAATTGTACAACTTAGGTATGATATCTACAGAATTCTTCTGATCTACCAGTCTAGTATCCCTGTCATAAAAGGAAATCAGGTTAGTGTAGTATGACCTGTTCTTAATGAAGCTGTGGTAGCTTTCCATGATCACGGTGGCTTTTCTATAAATTCAATAGCCATGCCTTTAATAATATGTCCTGCAACTTCTCCAGCAATTGAAATCAGGCTCATGGGCCCACTGTTTGTAGAATCTATTTTCTTCCCTTTTCCACAAAACAGGAAACAAGGTCCTCCTGACCTTTGCTACTTCTGCCATGAGCCATGGGGTTAGGGAGAGGCATAGATTAGTGGTTTCATTGCTACAGGAAACTCTCTGGATCAGGAAACTCCACTTACTAATGCAGGTTCAGACCTTCTCTACAACTAAGAGTCTTAGAAAGATGCCTGGGACACAGAAGTCACTGACTGTGGCCCAGCCATCATATCTGCCAATGAATTACAGTACTTGAGGATGCAGTTCATCTGAACTTATCCAGAACAGCTAGGTTCTACTTGTTTACTACCTTCCTACTTAACTTGGCCATCAATTCCCCATTAGCTTGGCTTATTCTGTCCTTCACGTTCCAAAGACCATTCTCCTTTCAAGAGAAAAAGTAAAACAAGAGTGCAATGTTTAACTGGAAATAAAATTTAAAAAATAAACCAAGAGTTCAGCAGCTCCACCTTTTTTGCTGGTCAGGTTGTTGTCAGCCCATCTGCCTGAGCCCTGGGTCTATCCCCTAATATAGCTCAGACAAACAGACACCCAGGGAAACCCCCAAGCCTTGTGGCGGGTCTTCACTTTCCCCCCCAGCATTCAGCTGAGTCTGAGCCCCAGCACACCTGACACTATTCATCCAGATGGATGTCACCCAATTGTTTTCATCCCCTACTACATCTGCCCTGTGTCCATCTTCTAGCTATTAAAAATTCAAGTCAGTTGAGGAATTCCCTGTGTATCTACATCCACTTCCTTATGTGACTCTTTTTCCTCCTCATCTCAACTATTTCTCTTGGTATCCTTAAGTCTCAAACTAAAAAGCTACTAATAAGTATAAATGCCTTACTTCAGACACTTCAGACTTCATCTGGGACCCTCTAAGTTTTGGGACTGGAAGGGACTGCAGGTCATTTACCTCATTCCCCTTGTGCCCCACTGCAAAGTAAACTTAAGCCACTTTCCCTCCATGAATGTCTACCCCAAGCTGAAAGAAGATCTTCCCAGCCTGCCCTTGTGACACGGAGGCATTCTGAAGCTCTTCCTTTTCTCAACCCCAAATCTACTGGGGACCCTTTCAGTCTCTCTTCATTCTGTCCCTCCACCTCACCAACAAAGAACAAGAACGGCTCACACTGACGTAGGCCCATCCTGTTTACAAAAGCACTTTCCTCAGACCAACCCTGAAGGATCAGAGAGGTCAAAGAACCCATCCAACCTTACACAGCTGGTAAATGATGGCCTGCAAAGGTGAACCCAGACCTTCTGATTCAACTGCTCCATCTATTCTCTTTTTACTAACAACCAATGATATACTCTGAGACTGCCAGGTTGCCCCTCAGCCTTCTCTTCCCTAAGTCACATTACCCAGACTTCCTTTGCCAACAGTAGCCAGACTAAGTGTCATTGAAAGAAAGGACAATGGTCCACTAAGTGAAAACTTCCTGATTCTATGATCGATTCATGCCAATGACATGTCAGAAGGTGTATATCACCTTTTAACATGCAATCAATCCATCACAGATCACCGTGACATTTGGCATTTTTTTAAACCCGGAAATGAAGTGAGTCAAATGATGTTATGTAAATGTTATGCATAAATTACATAATGGCTTCCACGTAGGCCTTCGAAGGTTGACAGTACTTCCAACAGCAATACCCAGTTACCTCTTGAAATAAAGAAAACTTTGTGGGCATAGCCGATTTCCAACATAGAGAGAAAACCTGAATAAATACTGTTGAGTACCATATCAAATGTCCACACTCAGTGATTAATTGCAACCTCAAGTCCAAACTTCTTACCCAGGCATTCAACAAAGCCCCCCATTGCGACTCCAACCTCCCCTTCTAGCCAGATTTCCCCTTGCTCCCTTCAGCCAAACTCAACTACTTGGCATTCCCATTCAATGCTTCCCCCTTTCCCTTTTGTGTGCCATTCTTCCTTACACCAATAATCTCCTCCTCTCTCTCTAATCTAAAGGCCTTTAGTGCCCACCTCAAAAGCTTCATTGACTACTTTCCTCTCCTCTGCTCCACCAACCTAGAAGTCAGAGAGGCTTAGAGGGTACTCAATAGGTAACTGGCAAATGAACTACCCCATATCCAACTATGAAGTCTGGCATTAGGAAGCCTGAGACAGAAGTCAGGAGGCCTGATTCTAAGGTCAGATCTGCCTTTAAATGAACTATTTTAGGGGTGAGAAACCTGCAGCCTTGAGGCCACAAGATGGCCTCAAGAGAGACTGAGTCTAAGTTTGACAGAACAAATTCTTTTATGAAGGAGACTTGTTCTGTGAAGTTTGGATTCAGGCAAAGGGCTGCGCTTGAGGACCTAGAGGGCCACATGTGGCCTCGAGGCCACAGGTTCCCCACCCCTGATCTAGTGTAAGCCTCACCTATTTACAGATGCCAGACATGTCACAGGAGGCAATTTTGTTGAGGCAGGGGTTGGAGCTGAGGGCCTCTGGCCTGCCACCCAGCTCTGCGATGCGACTCCCACATACCTAATGCTTTCCATGCAGGTTCTCATTGGGACTTCAGCCCCAAGAATGAATGAATGCAGCCTAGATCTCATCATGTAAGCACCAGAGATTCAAATCTCCAGTCATGATGACTAAGGTAGTGAGGTTTCTATGACCAAACCTGATGTTTCAGTCAAATGCAAATACCACCTGGCTAATCGAATCTTTTCCCATGGCCACAGGACAATTCTTTTCTAAAGTATGAAACCACATTAACGAATGACTGCTTTGTAACAAAACATGAGAAGTTGCAACATCCATTAATAGACCAGTCTGGAGGGAGCTATTAAAGGAGGCTAAGATCCACTGATTGAGTGTCAGGAGTTCACGTACAGCTTTCCAGCTACTCGTGGTCCTGGAAAAGAAATTGCTCCAGATCCCTGGAAAAACCAGCTCCCTTCTAATAAAAAAAAGAAGGGGAAAAAAGGGGGGCTTCCAGCACTCAACGTTCGAGAAAACAAAAACCTGAATCTTGGAGGGTTCCCCCTACCCAACCACACTCCAATCCCCTCATGGAACAGCTCACAATATGAAAGTTGGCCTTCACTGAAAAACAGTGGAAAACCCCTCTGAAACTGAGCCAAGTCACCAGCTGACAATAAGCAAAGTGAAGCAGTTATTTGGGCTAAGTTAGATTCCTTTAATGTATAATTATCAAAATGATAGCCTAACAGGCATATCTTCGGACTGGGACATGGAGGACCTGAGTTCCAGACCCACTGGGTGACCTTGGGCAGTCTCTCTATACCCCAGTTTCTCATTTGAATTATGGGGATAATGATGCCTGTTGAAATTGTACCCTTCCTTTAAAGCCCAATTCAAATGCCCACTGGTTAAGGAAGCCTTCCCTCTCCCTCTCATGAAGTGATGGCCTAGCTGCCCTGGATCAAATGAGATAGAATTTGTTAAGTGCTTAGCACAGTGCCTGGCACATATTAGGCATCTGTTCCCTTTCCCCTTCCCTTGTCCCTCCTCAGACCACTGTGCCCCTCTGATACTTTTCTCACACATTATTTTCTATCTGGTCATCTATGTCCCCTACTAAAGTCATCCTCTAAAGTCTTACCTCCTCCAAAGTCACACCTCTAATGTCTCACCTCCTCCAAAGTTTCACCTCTAAAGTCTCACCTCCCCTAATATCTTATCTCTTCCAATATCTCACCTCCTCTAATGTCTCACCTCTTCTAAAGTCACAAATGAAGTAAAAACAGAAGGTCTGTCAAGCTAAAGGATTGGTTTGTTGATGGCATGGTACAATGGATTTGGAGTTAAAGACCCTGGGTTCAAATCCTGCCCCTGTCACTTGCTATGTGTGGCCTAAACCAAATCACTTAACCTGCCTGGGCCTCAATATTCTCATTTCAAAAATGAGGAGGCTACAGGGGCAGCTAGGTGGTGCAGTAGATAGAGCACCAGCCCTGAAGTCAGGAGGACCTGAGTTCAAATACGGCCTCAGACCAAACACTTGACACTTACTAGCTGTGTGACCCTGGGCAAGTCACTTAACTCCAACTGCCTAAAAAACAAAACAAAACAACAACAAAAAATGAGAAGGGTGCAACTCGACTTCTAAGACCCCTTCCAGCTGAGATAGTCTTTAGTCCTAGGGTTATATGCCTGTTGTCCAAGGACTAATTGGAATGAGGCTCCTTGTTATGGGGACAGGCCCTTTGGTGATAAATGTGTTTGGCTACAGTGACTCAGGAATCCATTGACCAAGACAAGAGGAAGTGAGATCTATGGAAGGAATGTGGGAAGGCGGCTCTGCTCTAATAATCCCAGAGGATAGGAAGTCACTTGTGTAGCACTTCCATTCTCCCTCCCTGCCTGGCAATACCAGAGAACAGGAATTGTGTCTCAGCTAAACCTTGTGTCTAGCTCTAAGCCAACAGAGTGCCCACCCAACAGAGGTATTTCATTGCACTCAATGTCTGGCCCTCCCTATCCCAGTGGGACATGAAGAATATCAGAGGATGATAAGGAAGCAAAGGCCAGATAGGGGAAGTGACCTATCAAGGTAATGATAAAAATCAAATCATAAAATAATAGCATTTTTATAGCTCTTTCAGGTTTACAAAGCACTTTACATTCTCTTATTTGATGCTCACAACAATCCTGTGTAGCAGGTGATATTATCACAATATTCATTTTACAGATGAGGAAACTGATGCCCAGAGAGACATTAAGTGACTTGTTCAAGGTCACACAGCCAGTAATTGTCTGAGGCAGGAGAGAGGAAGTAACATATAACTGAACCCATGGGAGTCGATGAGGGTATGCAGAGAGAGGAGAGAAGACAGCCCAGGCCACAGCCTCTAGAGAATACCCACAGACACTGAGGAGTGGTCAGAGAGGTAGGAGAAAAACTGGGAGAGAGCAATGTCTGGCAGTGAGCAGGGACAAAAGTTTCAGAGAGGTCAAGAAAGAGAAGGAATGAGAAAAGACCATTAGATTTGGCAAAAAAAAAAAAGATCACTGGTAACCTTGCAGACAGCAGTCTCAATTAAGTGCTGAGGTCAGAAGCCACATTTCACAGGATTGAAACTGAGTGAGAGAGGAGGAAATGGAAGCAAGAGTCTACACAGTGTTTTCCAGTTTGATTGTGGAAGGAAGGAAAGATTGGACCATGATCAGAGCAAATAATAGGGTCAAGGAAGAGTTTAGATTGTTTTAGAAGGGTAAAAGCCTAGGTTTGTTTGTAGGCAACAAGGAATGGAGTAACTGAAGATGGAGGAGGGGGGAGAATGAGTAGGTAAATCTGCGAAAGGAGCCAAGAAGGGTTAGGATCAGTGGGACAAATGCAGGCCATGGCCTTGGTGAGGAGAAGGGCTACCTCTTCATCAAAGGCTAGAGAAAAGGATAGAAAAGGGGGATGGTGTCAAAGGACTCAGAGAGGCAGAAGAAGGCCCAAGAAGGACTTCCAAGAAGATGGCCTCTATTCTCTTAACCAAGTACGAAGTGGGATACTCTGCTGGGAGGGTGGGGACAGAAGGTTCAGAAGGAACTCCCTCTTGCCTCTAGGATAGATTATAAACTCCTGTGTGTGGTCTTTTATGATCGACCTCACACCTGCTTTTTCAGACTCACTGCTCATTACTCTCCTTTGCTGAAGTCCAGCTAAAGTCCAGCTAAAGTCCAGCCAGACTGGTCTTCTTCCTGTTCCCAGCCACGACATTCCATCTGCGGTCTCCTCATCTTTGTATAGGCTGTTCCTCCTCCCTAGAAGGCTCTCCCTTCTCCCCTCCGCCTCTCAGAATCTCTAACTACCTTGAAGGCTCAGGTCAAGTGCCAGTCAGCCTTTCGTGATTCTCCATGGTTGCTTTGCATTTCTTTTGTATATGGCTTCTGCATACTTATGTGTGTCCAAATTGTTCTTCTCTTCCTCCTACACACTCCTTCCCTCTAGTAGAATGGAAACTCTTTGAGGGCAGGGACAGCACAATCCCTGGCACACATTAGGTACTTATCGAATGCTCACTGAATGAATAAATGGATTCAAAGCCAGAATCCCCACAATGTGAAAGCCTTTCCGATTATAAATCCATCTATCTAGAAGATACATAAGAAGCAAGTCTTCCATAGTAAGAATGATTACATTCTAATATAAAGTTATTTCCAGTGACCAGAACTATGGACCAATGTTTGGCTCCTACTTCTTCAGATGCACCCATTTCCAATGATCATTCTAAACACAACAAAGCATTGGCTTTGGAGTCAAGGGACCTGGGCTGAAATCTCAGCTCCATCACTTCCTACCTGTGTGACCTTGGACCAGTCACTTCTCTGCTCTAGGCCTCAAATACCTCAGCTGTAAAGTGAGGGGGTTGGGGGCAGCTAAGTGGTGAAGTGGATAGAGTTCTGGCCCTGGAGTCAGGAGGACCTGAGTTCAAATTTGACCTCAGACACTTGACACTTACTAACTGTGTGACCCTGGACAAGTCACTTAACCCCAATTGTCTCACAAAAAAAAAAAAATGAGGAGGTTGGACCAGATAGGTCCTGAGGTCCCTTCCAACTGGCAACCTAAGGCCCTATGGCCTACAAACAATTCAATGGCCCTCAAAATGACAGAAGAATATCTCAATGACTATTCACAGTGTAGAAACCATTTTTGGTCATTTTTTTCGTCTTAAAGAAATCTCAATTAACCAATACTCACCAATAATACAAGTTGTAATTTGCCCCTTCAGGAATTTTTTCTCCTGGTTTCCAAGTGCATTGGAGAGATTTCCAGTTATAATAGATACACTGCATTTCCTGGATTTTGGTCTCTGGCTCTCCTGTGAAGTGGAACAACGATAAGCCCTTACAATGCTGGAAAGCCACATTGATGACTACTCTGAGACGTCACTCTGCAACTTCAGTAACTTTCTTTGGCCTTCCTTCCATCTCATGTAACAATCAACATCATTAAGCAATTTTCCAAATGATTCCTTGTAGTGGCTTCATTTTAATCCGGGTCAATGACATACAAAAGCTCTAATCTCTGCCCACACAAAGGCTTATATTAAGCTAGAGAGGTGGTTTTCTGAGCATAGGACAGCTAGTATATTAGAGTTTAAAATGTGAGCTAGCTTAATTTCACAAAAATGAATATGATTGGTGGGTCTAGGTTTCCAGAAGAATTGAGCATTGATTTTCTTTCCAATAAACTTCAGTGCTCTTCAGCAAGTGAACCATGAGTTCTGTATCACAGGAATCACCTTACTCTAATTGGAGAGGCAATACGGTGGAGAATGACCTGGAGGCAGGGAGGCTGGGGTGTGAATTCTGCCTCCAATAGTGACCAGCTCTGTGACTCCAGGCAAGTCACTCACCTCTCTCTGAGCCTCAGTTTCCTCCTCTGTAAAATGTCTACCTCAAGAAGCAGCAAGAGTGGAGGCAGGAAAACCTGGGTTCAAGTTCTGCCTCTGACACATACTGGCTGTGTGACCCTGGATAAGTCACCTAAATTCTCCCCTCAGTGCCCCAGGCAACTTTCTAAGACTAGACATTTTCAGAATTGCCTATCTATACCAGTGGAAGGATTTACCACACCAGGAGTTCCCTTTGCCAATGAAATCACCAGATTGCCTCCCCACCCCACCCCCTAAAAAACTGACCTCACTGTTGAGTACCATAAGAAATGCAGAACATTGCTTTGAGGCTCAAATACAAATGTATCTGAAGGGCTATATCAGTGTTCAGCATTGTCATCATTCATTGTACTTCCCAGAAACCACCAGTGTTGGAATAGCAAAATGTCTAATATTCTGCCGCTGGTCCCCCTGACAAGACCTTTGGGGACAAGTTGTTTCAGAATGAATTGTCTAAGCTGGAAATGCTGACCAGGCCTATCATCTCTTTAGAAGCTACCTATAGTCTTTCTTTATAGGGGTAAATGCAAGATCATTGGAAGTCTAGGGGAAAAAAGAGCATCCAGGGAACATACCAGGAATGAACGTTTGGGAATATGTCCACATCCCCTCCTGAAAAAGGCAAGTGCTAATTCCTATTAGAGTAACTGAATAACATGCTAGAGGTGAACAGTTAAAATCTACCCCTAATTATGGTGACCATCTCAACTGACTGGTGTGGTATATTCTGGTTGATTCAAACTTCTAGATAACTGAGGAAGGAGTAGATGACTTTGTTTCCTTTCAGCATTTTCTTGCCTTTGCATTTCCAGGCAAGGACCTATGACTTCACTGTTCTTTGCAGAGTGAGAATGTAGCAAGGCCTGAGAGTCTTGATTGTCAAATAGGGAATACGAGGGCCTGCCCCATTTGGAAGTGATAGGCCCTGCTACAAGTCTGTCTCCCTTACATTTTGTGCATCCCATTTAAATCCTTTGGGTGGCCCAATGAGTACAAGACACCTGTTCATGTCCCTATCTGGGTCAGGATATGGAAATGGAAAATCCGGAGGAGACGGGGTTCAGTGTGCATGACACAAGTGCTGGTTTTGTTGGCATTTCCCTCTTTCCCCTAAAAATCAAACATGAGAATAAATTCCAGCTAATAGAGGGTTATGGTCAGTTAAATTCTATTTAATTGAGGTTTTACTCTATATTAAACCGAATTTTTTTTAAAAAAATTATATTTTAAAATAAAATCTAGAAAGATGACAGCAATATTGTATGGAAGGAACATTGGCCTGGTGGTTAGGAGACCTGAGTCCTAGCCTACATTATGCCACTGCTTTTCAATGTGACTTTGGATGAGTCAATTGCTTTCTCTATAAAAAGAGGAGGTTGGACCAAAATGCCAAAGAGTCCTCCTGCCTGTGATCAGAGGTGTGAACCATGTGAGCCAGGCAACACTCCTGAGTGCAGCCCACACTAGATTAAAATCTAACTGGGAAATATGTAACAACATAAATAAAACACAGATAATGTGAATATGTGGTTTTCTAAGTCACTCCGAGGCCCACTGGGATCTTTCTGAATGGTTCCATGGCTCCTGTCTCTAGGTAGATTTGATCCCACTGCACCACAAGATAGCAGTAAAAGGTTCCGAAAACTTAGTCAGGAAAGTCAAGAATATTGCTTCTCTAATAAAGGCAACTTTAGGGATCCAGGCCAATCATTCTTGTAAAGATGGGGTAATGGAGAGAGGATCCAGGCCTGTAGGGCAATTCCATAAATTCAAGGTAAATCCTTTCCCATCCACTCTGATCTGGCAAGATTCAATCTGAAGGAAAGCTGTCTCCTAACCTTGTAAGGGAATCCAGAAAGAAGTCTGTGTCCATTTGCTGTGAACATCCGATCCATTTGTACAATGGCCCGTCAGGAGCGTTTGGATTTTTGCTTCAACTCCCTGGTTGAGGTCAAAGCCATCTTCATAATTTAACTTCTTAGTAATGATGGTCTAATTTGATTTTTTTAAAAAATGACAGAGTCAAGCTCTGAAGCAGCCTTGGAATAAAGAACCACATTAATAAAGCCCTAGAAATCATTAATTCCTGGACAGCTCCCAATTTCTAAGACACTCTTCATAACTATCAGGAGAAAATGTCCCAGATAGTTTTCTGGCACAGTACATCCTCCATATATCATGCCAGTCATTGAGAGCATTCAAAAGGCTATAAACCTTCATTTTATCAGGGGGAAAAATAAGCTTTATGGAGCTACAGATGTTATAATCCTAATCTTATAGAGGGGATCACCACTTAACAATGTACATTCTCTCTAGTCAATATCCACTCAATGTAGATAAGTAGATATATAGATGATAAAAAGCATAAATAGATATAGACAATGATAGATATAAATTTATGGATGATAACGGAATAAATATATAGATAATAGAGATACAGATGATATATATAGAGAGAGGATATGGATACAGATGATAATAGAATATACAGATAGATATAGATGATATGGATATAGGCAGGGACCCGGTCTTCTTACCTCCCAGTCTTCACTCTCAATGTTCCGGTATCTTAATTCATATTGTACCGTACAGTGCTGGAACATGCCCAATGTCAGAGGGGGCTGCCATTGCAAATTCAGGTGACCTAAAAAGCCAGGATCCACAATCTTCAAATTATGAGGAGGATCCACTGAAAGACAGGCAAATAGGGTCAGTGGGGACATCCCCTCCTGCCTTTGCAGAAGCCCGCTGAAACTCGCTCCCTGCTAGGTCTGAATAGGGATATGTCCCTTACTTCCAGACAACCAAAAAAAAAAGCCTAGGTTTCCCCTTTAGTGGGGACAATTTGTTGATAACAGGACTCCTAAATTGAGAAGAGTACCAAGGGAGCTTTCCAGGAAGGTTCAAATTATTCTCCAGACCTGATTTGTAACCAACTATCCAGGAGAATAACTATTACCCTGAGAAAGCTTTCCTTCCACATAGTATCTCCCAGTGATACCTTTGCCCTGGCAAGTGCCCATCATTCAGTGCATCAACATATGGCACCTTCAGCTGCTCCTAGGCATGAACTCCATTGTAACCCTCTTCTTGAATGCTACCAGGACACAATTGTTTAGAAAAGTATCAACATTTCACCAGGAAGAAAAGTACATGAAACTATAAGAACGATCATATTGAGTGTTAGCCACATAACCCGTCCAACACTAGGAGTATGTCTCTGGCAACGGCCAGTCAGCCAACGAGGAGTTAGATTGCACTGGCTATGGGTGCGTACTGTGCCCAGTGGGGTGGCTGTGTTGGAGGGATGGGAGAGGAGGGAATTGGGGCATCAAAGTACAAGCCCTAGTCCCTTCCTCCACAGAGTTGGCAAATCCCATCCAGTTGGAAACAATCAGTATGAGATACAGCCCAGCACAGCATCAAGTTCTAAGCAGTATATGAATCAGTCAGCATCTTCTATGTCCTGGGCACTGGCTTTGGTGTGTCCAGGGTATAACAGCTGGGAGTTGCTTCCAATCTCTGCATCTCTCTCCCTCTATTTAATTTATGAATATTGAGCATAGTACAGTAGAAAAAGGGAAGTCAGGTGACCTACGTTCTAGTCTCAGCTCTGCCACATTTTAGCTATATGACCTTACACAAGTCATTTCTTCTCTTTGGGTATCAGTTTCTTGATAAGTCAAACAAGGAAATTGGGCTAGATGGTCCCTGGGGTTCTTTCCAGTCCTAAAACTGAACTCCAACCAGAGTGTCTCTCCTGCAGAATGGCAAGGCTGTATTCAAGCCGGTTATCATTCTTTGAAGGCGCAATATAAGAGGGGAATTTTGAGTTAGGAAATCTAGTTTTCCCCTTCACAAATAAATGCAAATGACCTGGTCCTCTTCCAGCAAAAGCCACAAAGTAACTTTCTTTCAGAATTGCCTCATGACACTAATTCTCTTCATTCCCAGAGGCTTCCTTAAAGTTCTCACCACATTTTGTTTGGATTTGGGGTTTTTACTGAAAAACTCTTCATTCTCCTTCAGAATCCTCTTCCTGTCCATCCTAGTTGGTGCCAGGTTTTTCACGAAGGAGTCCATTTGGGTTTTCTCGTTTGTTTATTTTTACTGAGAGGGCTGAGCTCTGGCTCACTGCCAGGTATAATCTGAAGCCTTCAAGGGAAAGAGAGAGTAGATGTCATGCTATCCTGAACCTCCTGTTACCATTAACCAGCAGCTGGCACTTGGGCCACATTCGCCCAAAATGACAGACAGACACAGTAGAAATGGTTCTGACAGAGTATACTGGCTCACCTCCACTAAGCAGAATTCTGACAAAATGAGACAATGTGGTTAATTTGTGTTTCTGACAGCATGAGGCTCCAAACAAGGCCCAAATATAGCTGCCAGTATTGAGGAGCTTGCATAACTCAGGGAAATGACCAACCAAGGAGAATTCAGAATCTCCCAGTCCAACCTATACCTGAAAAGGGAGGCAGCACCCAAAGACTGCGACATTTGGAGGAAACTGAGATCTGGGTCACACTGGCAGTGGCAGAGGTCAGGTCCCCTGACTCCAAAGCCAGCCACTCTCCCCACTGCACCATGCTCAGAGCTCAGCATGGTCATTTGCCACTTCACCTTTCAACCCCAAAATGAGAGACATGGAAGAGATCCCCTCGACAACCCCAAGAACAAGTGGGCATCCAGCCCAGAGACTCATTTAATCCTCTCCCCCCACCATCCAGACAAAGAGGACAGTGCCCTGCCGTTCTCCTATGTCAAGCTGAACGTCTCATTTGGGACCTAGCCTGAGCATTCACTGAACATTCAGGAAAACTGAGTTCCCCTAATTTATTTTTGATTGATTACGATATTTGTTACAACAGTTTTTATCCCACCCCTCCAGAGGAGGGAGAGAAAATGAAGGCCCATTAATTGAAACAATTAAATTAACTTTAAAAATAAAAACAAACTGAGTTTCCCTTATACAAACCAGGACAGACTAGTCAGTGTGATAGAACGGGATCTCCTTCAGTCGCTCAGTTACTCAATCAGTTAACAAGCATTAATTACGCACTTCTAGGAAATCTTGGGGCTCCTTGAGGGCAGGGACTATCTTTTGCCTTTCTTTGGCTTCCAGGTGCTTGGCATGGAAAGTAGTTGGTTAATAAATAAATGAGCAATCAGTTAATGAATAAACATTTGGTAAGTACTAACTATGTCCCAGGCAATGAGGTAAATACTGCAGAGGCAAAGAAGGGCAATGGACAGTTCTTGCCCTCGGTTCACATTTGAATGGGGGAGACAACATACAGATAACTATAGACATAGAATACTAATAATAGCTAACATTTATATTGAGCTTACTATGTGCCAGGCCCTGTGCTAAGCATTTTACAAATATTATCTCATTTGATCCTCAAACAACCCCTGGGCAGTAGGTGCTGTTATTACCCTCATTTTACAGATGAGGAAACCAAGGCAGACAGCAGTGAAGTGACTTGCCCAGGGTCACACAGCTAGTAAGTACTCGAGGCCACATTTGAACTCAGGTCTTCCTGACTCCAGGGCCACAGCTCTCTCCTGCTAGCTTTACACAAGACAGAGTAACTGGAAGATATTCTGAGAGGAGAAGGCACTAGCAGCTGGAAAGATGGAGGTGGGCTGTATCTTAGTCTTCTGTGGACACAGCAGGAGCTCAATAAACATCTGCTGTGAAGGTGGCCTGGCCTTCCCTCACCCCACCCCACTTCCAGAAGATGAGCCCTACAGAGGATTCCATTTTAAAAGCCAACAGTAATCCTTGCTCTCCACCTCTGCCCTGCCCTGCCCTGCCCTTCTGAGTTCAGCACTGCATCCGTCTCTCCTACTTGTGGATGCCCATGAGCCATCACTGGAATTACCAAATGCCACCCCAACTCACAGGGCTGTAGCTGGGGAGGACAGAGGACCTGCCTCTGCCAGTCACTGCCCAACAGAACCTAGAAAGCCACTGGGCTTTGCTTTCGGGGGGGGGTTGTTTAATCTGAAACAGAGAACAAAGGGTCAAGAACGTGACTTTTAGCAGGAATATGCCTTTGGACGGAAGGTATTCAGGCCCATTTGAAAAAAGCCTCCTTCAGAACTTCAGCTAGGGAAGTGTAGTAGACTAGAAACATCCAATCAATGAAGCCGAGACTAGAAGGTGTGCCTGGCACTCGGCTGGCTTACCTGTTATTTGGCTGGAGGAGGAATAGCCATGTTCCAGCGTGGCAAAGAGGAAAATAGAATAGACCCATTTGAGATAGCTTGGCTTTCGATGCATTTCTCTAGGGTCTAATAGCAGGCGATTGGCAGTCTGGGGGAGGAAAACACCTTTTTAGAGGACAGAAGTCACACATTTGATATGATCTCATCAAACATAATCTGTTTGGTTAAAAGTACTTCACAACATGATATTTTGATAATCATCAACTGTAATAAGAGAGAGCCTGAACGTAAAGAAAAGAACAAGAAAAAATCCAACAATAATAGCAAAGACAATGGGGGAGGGGGGTCAGACCTCCGATTTCCTTGTGCAGAGCTCTCCTTGGCATGCAAACTCCCTCCACTGCTGCACACTGTCCATTTCCCTGTCCTAGAGCTCCAAAGCTCGCCTGGGATACCCGCCCTCCCCCTAAGGGGCACAAGGCAACCGCCATTTAGCTGCACCTTAAAGTGCTTGACACCTCGGGCACCTTTGAGTCTTCCAATAGTTCTTTGGAGCGGGTTACAGGTTTTATCACTCTCATTTTATAGACTGCAATCTTAATTGGGAAGCAACAGGAACAAAAAGACTTTAAAAGAGAAGGTCTTCGTTGAGAGTACTGGCCCCACCAGATGACTGACTTACCTGAGAAAATGCCCACTGTGCTCCCCCAAACCCCTGAGATGGCCTCCCCTCCAAACTTACCCAGTAGAAGAGTGTTCTCAGCTCCCCACTCCTCCTCCTTTGGCTTAGCACACTTCTAACTGCTCAGTTATCTGACTCGTCTAGCTTGTGCGGGGCCATGGATTTTTCCTGGGTATTATTAATAACCTCTTTCCTGCTCCTCTTTATTATGTTGCAGTATGAGTCACAGCAAGACTGGTACTGGGGGAAACCACCTATGATTCACTAAATGGGTCTCTATTATTTGTCAACCCCCACTTACACCCCAATCCTAATATACACATCCACATAAACAACATCTGACCTTGATTTATGAGGTGTTTTCAAAAGAACTTGTCCTCTTCCTTCTCTTGTCTCCTCCCTGTAACTGAGTCTGTGGCCAGGTCCATTCATTGGAGAGAAGTTAAACACCAGACCAGAAGATCTGATCTGATCCACTACTCCAACAGTTTCACTGAATTCATGCTAGATGGGGGTGGGGGCGGCAGGAAGGGGGCCTGCCAAACAGCACGTTCATGACAATAAGTAACAAAATGAAACCTGCCAATTTGGGAACCTTGACCTGATTGAAAGAGATCATGTCTGTAAAGTGCTTAGCACAGAGCCTGGCACATAGTAGGTGCTTAATAAATGTTTGTTCCCCTCCCCTTCCTCCTTCCCCCGACCAGTTTGATCAAATACATGTGACTTTTGCCCTAGGCTCACTTCAGATTTCAGGGTACAGCACAGTCACTAAGCCTCTCCCTCCTAGATTGGATTCTTCTTAACTCCTTTCTGCTGCTTTTGAATTTTTCCACTTAGTCTGCTGATCTTTAGGTCAGAGGAAATTATCTATCTCCCTCATGTATTCCATCATTCATTCAATCACTCACTTATTCCTTCATTTATTGAGACAAGTACAAGCCTGTTTTTATGACTCAGCAAAGGCAATAGTCACCCAGAGTTTAAGGAAAGAGCCATGGGCCAAGAATCTCTCTGGAGCAAGACAGCCCACAGCAGCAGGGTCTGAATTGCCCACAGGTATTTTGTGTGTGTGTGTGTGTGTGTGTGTGTGTGTGTGTGTGTGTGTGTGTGTGTGTGTGTGTGTGTGTGTTCGTTTCAAGGCTATGAACAAATCTCCATGACAAATGATCACTTCCAAGAACATGATGAATGGGTTTTTCAGAATATTACTGAAGCAGCTTCTGAAAATCACACACAACAGTGATGGAAATGGCATATTTGTTGCCTTTTGATGAAAATATTTTCATTGTTGTGAAACTTGTCACTTTTCATTCCTGTCCTTTGAGACATCTAAACCCAACAGTCAGAGTGTAACAAATTGTCAACGAGAGGAAAAAGGACCTTGGGGAGGGGAGAATCAAAAGGACTGGAGTTTGATTCCTCAAGGCACAAATGTGATCTACAGCGAATGACATGATGGATTGAGTGTTTTTCTATAAAGAGTAATGGTCGAGGAGGCCTGGGTCCTGGGCCTAGCTTCCTTGGGCAAACTTCATCACTTCTCCAAGGCCACCACTCCCAAATGAGGGGCCCTACAAGACAGGCACTGGTCCCTTCCAATTCTAACATTCCATGGCCTACAGCACCACCACAAAATAAACTTTAAATGGGGGCAGAGAGGAGGTGCAGTGGATAGAGCACCGGCCCTGGAGTCAGGAGGACCTGAGTTCAAATCCAGCCTCAGACACATAACACTCACTAGCTGTGTGACCCTGGGTAAGTTACTTAACCCCAATTGCCTCACCAAAAAAATAAATAAAATAAACTTTAAATGAAGCCAAACACTGTATAAATGTAATGGCCAAACTTAGCTGGCCCAGAAGAAGAAACATAGAAATCTACCTCTCCTTTCCTTGGAGTACTGCTGGTCTGTGGGAGTAGAGCACAGACTGACAGATGTGGTTGCTATGTGGTTAGGTGTTACTTAATTTTCTTTATTACAAGGAAAAGAGGGACACTGGAATGTGGAAATGATTATGATGGAAAAACAAAAGGCTTCAATAAAACTTGAATTAAAAAAGAAAAACAATATGAACTTTGATTCCTGGAATAAAAATTGTTAAAATTTATGGAAGCTGTTTGCAAGCAATTTGGACTGGAATTAACAAAAACTTTAGGGTGTTTTTTTGGTCTGAATCTAGGCTTTCTTTGGCATAGGAAATTCCCACTACAGAAACACCCTGCACTGTAGATCAGCAAGTCATTGGCCGCTCAAGGTCCTAAAAAGCTGCCCAACAAGGACCATGTGGAGACTCAGTTCTTTAAGCCACATGAGTGAGAATAGTGCTGGCACAGGAGAGACCTGGATTCGAATCCTGTCAGTACATTACTGGGAGCAAGTCTCTGAAGATCTCTAAGCCTCAGTTTCCTCATATGTAAAACGGGGTTATGGAAGAGAATTATCTATATTCCAAGGTAATCAAAAAGTCAAATGAAATGATGTTTATGTAAGCCTGGGTCAGAACTAAGCATAGAGACAGAGATGCTTTCCCAGGAGCCCCTTGACCACTGAGATTATGAACTAAGAATTCAGAAGACTATTCATTATTCACTAAGAATCTGGAATACAAGGAGAAAGCCACGACCAGGGGGCTGGAAGGTGTGGTCACCTCTATGTTGATGGACTTCAGCACTGGATTGTGCCTTTCTGTTCTCTCCTTAAAAGACTTTGAAAGAAGAGGCTGTTGTGCCTGCCACCCTGGTCAGCAATGAGGCTAGAACACTGAACCCTGAAGACCAGGCTGGGTGGTATGACCCCTGCTGTCCTCAAAGACAAATTCCTCTTCTTGGGACTTTGAGCTAGGGAGAAGGCATTTGCTAATTGCCCCACTAGTACAGAGTTTTGCTTTCACCTCTTTTCTGTGAGTGGAAGGAGTTAATGAAGGAAATCAAGGCAGGTTTGAGAGAATACCAGCAGGGAAGCATCTAGTTCTCCTCTTTCCCCAGCAGGATGAGTAAAAAGGCAGACTTCCCAGAAACTCACAAACTGGGTCATTCTGGCTGTGACAACTTTCTTAGCCAGCCCAAGATGATAAACCAAAGAAATCAAAGTGAAGAGGGCTATCATCTGAAGCCCTCATAGCCGTAGACTAGTGCTGGTGGTGAGTTCTTTGAGAGAGCTAGGAGTGCCCTTTTGGAAGCCATAGGCAGCACACCCCTGAGTTCCTCCTCATATATTTCTCCTGGACTATTGTTAGCAAGCCAGAAGACCAAGATAAGCTTTGTACATTTGAAAGTTCCATGTAAATGTAAGCTACTATTATGCATGGGGCATTTCTAACAGTGGGACATTCTAGTGGAGGAAGTTTGGTGAAGGGAGGCTTTCCAAAGCGCCCCACCCCCTGCCCAAGCCATACTACCACTCCAACCACATGAAAGACTAGCACTGATTATTTTGGGGGGAACACACTCTTCAAGATCACTCGTGGTTGGTTTCTCTTCACTTTTCTCTGGGAGGTCATTGTCACGTCCTTCCATATCTTACGTCAAGATGTTGCTGCAGAGTATGCCACCTAGTCTTTAGCTAATTTGGCTTCCATACTACCCAACCTATACAACACAGCTATTTGCTAGCTGTTTCAGCTCAATCCAAAAAAACATTTGCCCAATGCAATGTCTAGTGTCAGGGGCTAGGGGACGTGCACAGATGAAAAATGCCCCCGTCCTTTCTCTCATGGAGTTTTCAATCTAGTTGCGCCTCCCTATCAGTCAGCAGGTTAGTAGTCTGCTGAAATGAAAACCTTAGTGTCTCCTTATCTAGTGACCACATATATACACACACACACACACACACAACCACAACAAAGATGCTCAGATCTACCCCATCCTTAAAAACCCTTGACTTGATCCTGCCATTCCCTCAAGCTATCCTCCTATATCTCTCTTCCCATTCCCTGCAAACTTCTAAAGTCATTATCTCCACTTCTTCACAACCCACTCACTTTCTCAATCCCTTGAAATCTGCCTTCTGATGTCACCACTCTTGGGAAACTGTTCTCATGTTTACCGATGATTTCAACCTCTGAGTCGGAAAGGCCTTTCTCTCAGTAACCATCCTTCTTGATCTTTCTGCAGCTTTGGACACTATCAGACCCCACCCTTCCCCAAGCCCTCTCACCAATAGCACTGCTCTCCCCTGCTTCTGGCTCTCTTCTCTCTCTCTACCTTCCTTCCTCATGATTATATCTGTTCCCTCAGCTTCAATTATCATTTCTCCCCAGATGACTCCCAAATCTAGACATTGAGGCCTAGTCTCTCCACTGAGCTTCAAGTCTACATCTCTGTTTGCCTACTAGGTATCCATTTGTACACCCCATCAGCATCTCAAAGTCGACACGTCTAAACCTGGCCCTCAGCCAAACTTCCCTACTCCTACTGATGGCACCACTATGCTTCTAATCACCCAGGTTTAAAATGCTGGAGTCACTCTGGCCTCTTCCCTTTCCATCAAAAATCATCATTGCTCATCCCTTCATCAACTCTCATGTGAATTATCTGAATATCCTCCACATCACTGCCAAACTAATATGCCCAAGGCACAGGTTTGGCCTTATAACTTCCTAGCTAAAGTAGAAAGGCGCCCTGGGGGAGAGATAGGAATCAGTATGTGCTAGACAAACCACCACTTTGCCCACCGTCTCCTCTCAGATCTCAATGGAGACAGCCCAGGCCCGTAAATTCAAGGGCCTTGGGAATAGTAGTGCCTCACAAACACCCTAAAGATATTACTGAGAGGAGAAATCACTGTGGAGAAGGGGCCCATCAGTAATGATTGCTGACCAACTGCCATGAATAGGAGCCACAAAAGTGATGGCACCTCCCAGACCACTGGCTCTGCTTCCAGCCTAGTCCTCAGAACCATCATCTTGTGGATAAGGAGCTGTCCATCTCTACCAACTGCCAATTAACTACCACTCAACAGGGCAAGCGAGCTAGCCTAACTGAACCAGCAAGGTATCCTGCGGGAGGCAGGGGGAGAGAGGAGGCAAACCAAACCATGACCATGATCTCCTCTCGGATTTTGATAGAGATAGTCCAGGACCCTGAGCCCAAGAACCTTGGGAAGAGCCAAGCTTCCAGCCCAGGGACCTCAGCAAACCCCTTGGAGATGCAGCTTGGCCACAACTCCTGAAGACTCAGGAAGGAAAGTCCTGTCAAATGACTTAACATCA